ATGCAAGCTAACCACTTCTGCATATATGACAATTTATAATATAATTTGGTTACCTTTTACAGCAGATTAAATTTAGTTATTTTTCATTTTAAGATCATTCTTATGATCTACACGGGAAAATGCTGAGGTAAAATCAGGATTAACATGAAACCTTTTTTCAGATAGGAATTTGAACATCACCCTCAATGCATTAATAAAAACAAATTAAGCAACATATTAATCCCTTTAATGTTTTTTCATCATCAGTATACTGATAAATTTCAAAAAAGTATGATAAATACATTTCAACTGGCATTAAATTGCATTCTTTATTGCCAATGCACATATGTATTACATTGTGCATTCTGAAACTACCCATTACTTTGGTACACACACCCGTACAGTTAACACCCAGAAACAAAGGCTGGTTTTGTTTTAATAATTACAATTATATAAATCACATTGTCATGAAAAAGATTACTAATAAAATAATAAGCCTTAATTTATTTTTTATTTTGTAATCCGCATGTGTATTGGAAAAATACATAATCTGGATATTTTAAAGGAAGATGCGGTGTCCTGTACATTTAATCTGAGTATGAGAGTACCAAACTAAGTCAAAGTAGTTTTGGTCACAGCATTCTCTGACATTTTACAATGTTATTACCAAGAAGTATATAATATCAGTAATGAATTCACACAACTAAATGGTCCTTAGGGAATGATGTAAGCACACTTTGTAAAAGCGCATCAGTTTTGTAGAATTAACGCCATTTTCATTAATTTAGCTAGACTTGCATGATTAAGAGAGGTTTAAGATATTAAAGCAGACAAGTTACAGGCACTATCCAAACTATATTTATACCTCAATCACAAAATGTGAAAGTACAAAATTATTTTAGGTATTAAGCAATTTTTTTTTTTGCTATGTTTGTGAAAGAAGACAGAGACAATTTAATAAGAAAAAGTAACACAGTGTTCTGCATTAACTTTTATTTAAAATGATTCAGTAATATTGCCTACTTTGCTGTTACTTTAGAAATGATTATCTGGAATAGAACCCCCAAATTACTCATATTTAATGTAAACACCTCTTTTCATTTTAGTAGCATTAATTTTAAACTATCAATATTCACAGCAACAGACCAAACATCTTTTCCTATCACTAATTCTGTTGAACCTGAGGATAGCAATATATAGCACCATCTTTTTATTATTATGCTGCTTTCATCATTCCATGACATAGCATACATATTGCAAAATGTTGCAGCAGTGGTGGGTAAACTGAAATAATGAACTGAATTACAAATCAAATTACTTTTTTTTTTTTCTTTTTAAGTAAGTTTTGTGTCATATCTCTAATAAAAATTTAAACCAACATGAAGTACCCTGGGTCATTTGAATTATAAGCTACTTAGTACACCGTTTGAGCAGATGATATGAATTCAACTGAAAGAACACAGATTTTTATGAAATAACAACATTAAAAGATGAACAACCATAAATGGAAAAGGAAGTGGAAAGAATGTGTTTAGAATGCAAAACTATATATGTCGCTTAATACATGGTAGAACAATGAGAGATTAGAGAAGTTTTTTTATTTTAAGAAAGGCAATTTTCTTGACTTTAGAAATCAATTTAAGAAGCTCAATGAACTATTTTGATATAAAAGACAGCTAGCCTGGTTCCCTCTTTCTTCTAAGGACAGGGTAGGATATAAACCTGCACTTGAAGAGTTACAGATTTAAACATTTGTTCTCTTTTTCATGTGGAGTGCTCATATTTTTCACTAAGATGATGGTATTGAACAACCAAAAAAAACAGACAGTAAAAAGCAATATGCAAGAGCTTCCTGTTCTGATTTAAAATTCAGTTAGTTTCTTTGCTATGTACAATGTTCACACAGATCTAACTGATTTTGTGAATTACACCAGGCAGAGGAGTTTTAGGAAAGACAGAAATGTTCATCCTTCACCTTCCAGGGTACTTAGTTGTTGTTCAGAGATTACCAACCCAAGGTAAGAAGGCCTCATTTTATATACACTAAACACTGGATTGGATGGCTCAAATCATATACTCAAAAATTTATTAGCTGCCTTGATGTCTGCAAATCAGCAGCTAAAACATTTTTGTTAGAGAAAATTCCCTCAATATAATACCTTTTTTTTTTTTCTTTTTCACTGCTGGCAGTGAAAAGCTATTCAGATTTTGAATACATTAGCTTTTCAATATAAATATCTACTGTAAGGTTGTAAGGTCAAAATTTGGAGCTCATGGTCTTTCTTTTTTTCTGAAGGAGTCAAGGTATGATGGCACAAATACTTTCAAGAATAATGTTACTACTACAGATTGTCCCACTGAAGTCACTTGTGATTTCTTGAGGTAATTCATGAAGCTAATCATTAGTAAGCATCACCTTAAAAATACTAAATGAATGTACACAAAATTGCAGATAATTACTTTAAAGGAAACTTTGTAATAAGGGCTAATAATAAGTAGGTCACTGATTATTCACATGGTGTAACCTACTGTGCATTCAACTTAAGTCATTCACATTTTGATATTGAAATAGTAAAGGAAAATCTGATGTGTTTCCCAGCCTCCAAAGCAAAGAACATACCAGCAGTACAGCTGTTAATAAAAGGAATAAAGAGAAACACTGTCTTGTGTAATTAAAAAAAAAAAAAAAAACCAAACAAAAAAAACCCCAACCAAAACCAAACAAACCCCAACAACAGAAACCAAAACAAACCCAAAGGAATGCTGTGCTGCATATTCTCATCTTCTCATTTACTAAGGATCTTTTTTTTTTTTTTTTTTTTTTTTAAATAATTTAAGTAGACAGACTTTTTGCATTGGAGAAGGATATTAAGAACTGAAGTAAAATGTGGAAGACAGTTGTTGACAACAGTGCTTTGAAGAGTATGTTCAGGAACCTCTTAGAAAAGAGGATCTGAAAATATTACTATGACTACATAGAAGTGCAATAGAAAACCTTAGTGTACCTGAGTTATACCACTTATACTCTATTAGTTGAATACTCTCCTGCTTAATCAGATCTATTTTCAGCAGGAAATACTTCTTCAATAAAACCAATCTCATTTTTCCATTTAGTCCAAACTGTTAATTAAACAACAAAAAGGACACAAATCACATTATTTGTAATCATCTTTACTACATCAACTTGACTTATCAGTGAGTATGGTACTCTTCAGCGTAAGCACAGCTGGTAAAGTCACTTTTATTGAGATCTTTTTATTTATCTTTTCCTGAAAGACTAGAAGTATGTCTATAAATAAAGCTTGCAATTTACCCTTTAAAGAAACCAAATGTATTATCCATAGAAAATATTTAGGGTTTTTTTCACCAAACTAAACCCAAAACCTAACTCTCCTAATCTTAGAGGAAAAAAGAAAAAAAAAAAAAAAAAAAAAAGGCATGTATATCTATTACATTTTTTAAAAAAGCATTACCTTTTTTTAATGCAGAAAGGTTACAGTAAACAATGTAATTCAAGTTTTCAAATGATTAAAAGGCCCTGGTTTAATATTTTGCATGCTCTTTTACACCTGTCCAGATTCATGACAGCAGAAGTCCGAAGAAGGAGCAGCATCACATAAACAGTATCCATCAAATCAGCACCATCCCTCTATACTTAGCACCCAGGAGGATGGGATACTACCACATTCTAATCTCCTCTACTTAAGTGCCTTTTCTAAAATGCTTTGTTAAAACCCTTAGAAAGATACTTTTCCATTCCATCTCTTTCTGAATAGCTTACGGGTCCCCTGGGCACGAAAGTGAGACCCGAAATATTTCCAATATATAATAGAGTGCAAAAGAAAACATGAAAGATAATGCAGAATTCCATAACAAAACCACGTGAACAGAATTTGTATTTGGAAAAGGAATACCTCAGTGACCCCTAAATGGCAAGGAGCAGAACTGCCCAACTATTGAGACAGGATCATCAGGAATAAGAAACACATAGCTTGGTAAAATTAAGGTTTGTTTTACAGTTCTGGACTTCCTGAGTTCAGACATTCAGGAGGGTACTACTTCCTGTTTTGTCTTTTTAACAACTGTCTTAACTTCAGCTTTATCCTGGATTTTCCTAATTTTTGTATTTCTTTCTTGCTTACAACTCCTAATTTATATCGTTTTAACACACTCAGATTTATTTAGACACTTACATAGAATCCGACATAGAATTTTTGCTTGAAATTATGTTTTACATCTGTCTTTCTAAAACTAAAGCAACTGGATTAAGTTCATAAAGAAACAGTTAGTGATAATGAAGAGCAAAACTGATATAAATGATTCCCTAACTTCCAATCTTGCAGACATACACAGACTTCGTGAGTAGAATATAACTAAATTATTACATCCATATTTAGAAGGACTATGCATATGTATACAAAAAGGTTATGTTTGATTGTTCACAGGAGTGTATCTTTCATCCTATATTTTAGCTTCTCATATATGAGAAAGCTGTAATGTAAATTATAAAAACATTAAGAACAAACATAAAACAATTTATATCAAAACATATAAACATTTTAGCATACAAGTAATTGTATATATGTAATGTCACAAAGGCATTGTTCAAATGAACATGATCAGAAAATGTTTATAATTACAAGACAGCTAAAAATATGGTCCAACAGATGAACAGAAAAAGCGAAGATTACCTTTCCATGTTCATAAAATCATAGGCTGTTAACCTTCTCTAAACTTGAACAGTCTCTATGCTTAATAGTTCAGTTAACAATAATAAAACCCTACAAAGCATGCAGGTTATGCCACAGAAGTAGCACAGAAAATACCAAAGATGTAACAGAGAAAGAAAACATGTTGGGGTTGCCCTCCACCATGCTGTGACTTGAGTCATGGGACTCAGCTTACAGAGTGGCTTTGCATGTTTCCACTATATTGCAATGGATGGGGAAAAATATATTGTAGCTGAGTAGCATGCAGGCCAATCAATCTCAGAAGTGATCATATATGTATGATTTGTTTAGGTAACCTGTGTAAACATGCTGACACGTTGCTCTGCCTGGTTACAAAGCACCAGATCTGCATTCTTGACTGATCCAGCTTGATTTTACTCCTGTGAGAAGTAAGAATGGTACGTAATGAAGTTAAAACACGGTACCCTTTAGGTTGGTTGAGTTCTGGAAACAGCAGAAGTATGGATTCCTACTTATTAAAGATGTGTTTTCTAGGTATGTCACACATTTGCAAAACATAACATTTATAGCTGTTGATTAGAGCTTTAACCATATCCAAAGACATACTGAAAGAGCTAAAACTAGCAGGATATTGAAGCTCACAGATTTATATCAGACTTGGGCCTGAACTTAAAAAAAATCCCCACAAAAACCCAAACCCCTCCTCCCCCCTCCCTCCCAAAAACCTCCAAACCGAAAAGACAGATACACCCAAACTATGTATATTACAGCTTTAAGCATCCTCTAAATGCTACTATTTAGATCTTTAAAATAACAGAAATTTATTTTTCCTTGCATTTAATTTTAAGTTATTCCTGGCCTTCACTAGAATCTAAATATGTTATGTAGGATACACTGTCAGAAAGAAGTCATGGGCAAAACAAATAAATCATACAGGTCAAACATGAAGACTTCTGGGTAAATAATTTTTCCCAGCTTTTTAAGTTCATGACTTTAAAAAGTTTCAGCTATTTTAAGTTGCATTATAGGTTGTAACAGTTATGTAGCAATGTAAAAATGAAAACCCATGCCTAGCAATAAACCTGTCACCTCCTCAAGTACCTCACGTCTATGTTTTATGAGTGTTGTGGTATAAATCTCACTTCTCACCAATGACTTCTCAAAGGCTCATCAAATAATGTATAGCTATCTAACATCTCCAGCATAAACTGTTCCCATTTAATGGGAAAGTCTGAAGGACAGAAATGAAATAATCTACAAAATGAAAGACAATCTCCTTACTGACTATGAAATAGTGTATATTAAATGTTTTTTGTTGTTAATTTACATATCTCCTATGGTTGTCTTTCAACTATGCCAATCCTTAGCTGCTTTTCCAAATCTGAGTGGGTAAAAATTAATATTAGATAATAGTATCTCATAAAAAACTAAGGCTTATGTTTAATCTTGAATATCAGAGGTCAGAATGCATAATTTTGTTAACCAATTCTTAAATATAAAATAGTGAAGAATGAGGCATCTTAAATTGCTGGATAACTTCCAGGTAAGGGCTAGATTTAACACAGTTATCAGAGCAAGAGTAAACTAACTGGGTTCATCAAATACTACTTCCATGAATCCAAGTTTATTAAAACACACTAAGAAGGCCAGTATCCTTTACTCAGACTAATAATGCGTAAAAGATTTAGCAGCTGTTCAGTAGACATTATAGCTTCCTTACAAAGCACAGTTAATACCTTAAAACAAGTTATGAATATTGTCTTCTCAACTGAGAGGTCAACATAATGGAGCAACAGAACCTCCAAAAAGTACATGGAGCAAATCAAGTGTCAGAAAACAGGCTGCTGAAATAACAGATGAGTGTAATACTACTGAACACTGCACTCTATGATAAAAGAAACACCTAGAGTCACCTTATTACACCTTTCAAATTTAAGTTTAATTTAACTACACTTTGCTGGAACAAACTTACTTTCTAAAATTTGGAAAGAATATGGGCAAATTCATTGCCAGTTCAAACCAACCAAAAACATGAAAGCCCACAATCAAACAAAGAAACAAACAAAAAAAACCCCAACCAAAACAATCCAGACAAAGCAATCCAGGCTGGAGTATAGCTGTCTGCATAAGAGTGACACCCCATCATACTCTTGTGTCTTCAGGTGCTAAGGGAGTTGATACCAGGCAGAGTATCAGTGGACCCAATGCATAGCAATCTGAATTTTCAGAGTCTCTCAGGATCCTGCTGAACATGATTTTGCTTTCCCTCTCAGGCTGCAGCTGCTAACAAATGACTACTTTCCTAAAGCTGAGCCAGTTTAAGGTCAGGCAGCTGTCTTTGAAGTGACTGGTTCAAGACTCCCACCAACAAAAAAGAAACTAGTATTTTTTCATTCAGTAATTCTATTTTTTCTCATAATTTTTACTTGACCTTATAATACTGACATTGTTCCCTTGGCTTTCCCCCATCACATTTACTTCAGAACTCAAAAACCGTTGTTACTGCTCTCATCAGCCTGAGTTAGCACCTCTGTTAGATTATCCAGTACAAATGATGCTGATTTCTGTGGAACTCAGTGAGCTTTAAAAATCAAATGCAAAGGTATTAATAATCTTTATTAATATCTCCTCTAATCTTTTTAAATAGCAGTTTATTTTCATCCTTACTTCATGGAAATATGATTATATTAAAAAATAGTCTTTTGTCTCTGCTTATTCTGAACATATATACTAGCTTGGCTATCCCATTAAAAATTTAGAAAAGCTTGTTTTTCAAAACCCTTTTATAAATGGGTTTTATATACAGTTCTGCCTGGATTTCCTACTCTTTGTAGCCCCACTTTTCCACTTCAGTTTATTCACTCTCAGTACAGTCCAACAATCTCAAATCACATTTGTTTTCTAAGCAGGAAGAGTCATACTATGAAAGAACACAATCAGTATAATTCATACATAATATGAAATATTTAAATTTTACCTCCTTGCTTTCCTCCAAATCTGAGTCACTGCTAAACTCTTCTGTATTTAGATGTTCAAAATCAGATTCTCCAACCGCTATTGGTACTGTAACAGTAAGGCTTGGGTTGTTTATGAATGATGTGTAATCACTGCCACCTATAACAGTGGCCCTTCCGTTCTCATTTTTGTGGTAATTTGCATCTATCCTTATTTCAGCGATGGTACAGTTGGAAATGCAATGGTCTCTCTCATCATTCAACTGAGTAGTTGCTGGTTTTTGATTTGCAACAGCTGTTTTCCCCCTACAACACTTCTGGACACATTCACGTGCTTTTTTCTTCACATGATCTATTCCCTTCTGAATTCTTGTAACAGCAATCTGTAAGTTATTCATTTCATTATCATCCTCTGTAGGAGAAAGGCTGTCTGAACTAAATGAACTCAGCAGCAAGGCCAGAAAAAGGTTCAATACCTAAAAATGGAAAAAAAAAAAAAAAAAAAAGAGACAATACAGCTGAATTTTCTCACTTAATTTTTCATTCACATGCTTCTTCTATCACCCATTATGAATTTAGGCTTCACAAGATTCTGGAAATTACACAGTAAGGAAAATGTAATGCAATTTAAGCACAACACCTGTCCTATACTCCAGTGCAGGCGGTTTCACAATGCTGTATGACTATGAAGATACTTGTAAATTCTGTTAATGCTCATAATTGTAGAAGGTCAGAAATTAATGATTCTTTGGTACTGACTGAACAGTCCAACGTATTTACTTCTCTGGCACAGGGCAGCACTTTGCAACAGAAGAAATAGCTGATCTGTGCAGAAAACATCTTTCTTAAATTCTGGCTCAAACTCAGACAAATATTTAGCTGTTTGTGACTTAAAACTGTAAAGCACATCCTGCCTCCTAACCCCCAAGTCATTCTCTTCCCATGGCAAGACAAAACATAGAACAAATACCAGTTATCCAAGCCCAGAGTTTACCAGAAGCTCAGATGGTACTAAGATAGCCAAAGAAGCAGAGTACCAGCTCTTAAAGCCTTCAGATCAGCTGTTCCATGCAGCTTTGGAGACAACAGGGTAAAAACTATGTGTTGGGAACACAAAAAGACAACTGGATAAGGGAGGCCTGAACATACATCAGGGATTATCTACTCATAAGTTCTACTAGAGCTATCATATAAAATCATAATATACAGTAAATACTGTGGTAAAATTCACAGAGATGGATACTTCATTCCACAAAGTTCTATCTCCTGGTTTAGAAAACTATTTAAGGAGGATGTTTTGTTTGGTCAAACAATTTCACAGTTGTCTTCTTCATAAGACAACAGATTTGTAGAAAATCCTGGAGCAAGTGGCTGTGCTACCATTAGCGATGCATTATTGGTTTAAATATAATTAGCTTATTCCTGTTAGAAATTTTATTCCTGAAGAATGCCTCCAGTATGGCTAATTTAAAATCTCTTTTGCTGCTGACAGTTGCCTAAAGAAAAGATGTTGAATAACAGACAAAGACTCAGTAGGAATGAGAAAAACAGCACAAAAGGCAGAGCAATGAAGACCTCAAATACTGGTGAGTTAATAAATATAAAACATGTTTTAAAAGACAAATTTATACACAGTAATGTAAAAACTGTTACAGATCTGATGCTTTCATCTGAAAGAGAAGGTATATAATATAGACCACTTTAAAAGTGTCTGTAAAAAGGACTTAAGAAACAAGAAGCAAAAAGGTGAAGAGGTGAAGGAAAACATGAAGTATTTGTACCTGTTTTTTCTGCAGAACTGCTGCCTTCCAATTCAAGTTACCTTACCCCATTTGTGTAAAAAGCTGGCTGTCTAGCAAGCAGGGCTCAAAATGGCTTAAATTTCAGAGTCAAAGAATGTTAAAGTGGTCTTTTAGACAGGAGAGAGCAGAAAAAGTAAGAAAACCAACAACCTGGCTATGTGTGAATGGAAGTGATGCCTCAATCAATTAGATAGAAAAGGCTCCACTATGTTCTCTTCTGCAAACAGCAAACTACCATCCTAGGAGCATTACACTTGGGGTGCCTTTGTTTTTCTATCTCTCTTTCTCTGTAACCAGGAGTAGTCCACAAAAACCTTAATACAGAATGCTTCTCTCTGTCACCCATATCCTCTGAATTTCACTCCAGACCCCTGAGGGTACCCATCCTACAAGCTAAAGATTCTATATAGGATAAAAAATCTAATAAACAGGAGACTATTTCAGAACCCATACTTGTAGCAAATTCAAAACCATAAAAAGCAATTTAAATAACACATTTAATAAGGCTTAAAATCTTTAAAATCTTAAATCTTTACTAGTTCTGTTACCATTCTTTCTCTAAATGAATTCTCAAATTCTTTTGGCTACATACCACTAGGTTTCCAATCACCATGACCATCATGAAGACTGTAAGGCACATTGGTTGGCCTGCAACCTCCATGCAGTCCCACATCGTTTCTATCCATTCTCCACACAGCACTCGAAACACAATCAAGAAAGAGTGGAAAAAGTCATTCATGTGCCAGCGTGGAAGTTTGCAGTCGCTAGAGATCTTGCAGACGCATTCCTTGTAGCTCTTCCCAAACAGCTGCATCCCAACCACAGCAAAAATGAACACAATGATGGCCAGCACCAGGGTCAGATTCCCCAGAGCCCCCACTGAGTTGCCAATAATTTTTATCAGCATATTTAGTGTTGGCCAAGATTTTGCCAATTTGAAAACTCGCAACTGAAAAACAAACAGAAAAAAATGTATTATTTGCAGTACTTACAAAAATGCTACTGAAATAAACAGATTAGAAACCAGTGACTTTCAGCAGTATCAAAAAGAAGAAACTTCAATATGATTCCAACAACCGTAACTTACACAGAAACAGGAGTTTCATAAAATCCACACTTTTAAAGCTTAATAAACGTTTGACTTTGCCCATTTTTGTGTAGCATATCTGTATTCTTTTCTACATTAAAGAAACTGCACACTGGTTGAATTTGTTCAGGTAGTAAATTCTGAACATGGCAAATATCTCAACCATTATGTGCAGAAATAATTATTTTTTTTTTTTTTTAAAAAAAAGCTCAATAGGATTCTACTGAAGGAAAATAAAAGACTCTGAAATCCTCAAAGATGGGGTCTTCCAAAAGAATATTGCCTCCAACAAATTTAAAAAGGATCAGACAGACCCACAGACAGGATGTAAAACCCAAACACAAGCCATAAGTCCAACATTTCAACTTATGAAGGGGGAAAAAGTATAATTCATACTCTTTCTTACTCATAAACCACATAAAATAAAAAAGGTACTAAATACTGTTTTCAGATAAAAGAAGAATGGAAATGAAAAATGGAAAGAGATCATAGGGAAAGAATGTCTCAGTTTCTCATTTTTAAAATAAATATAATAAAGCACTCCTTTTTTATTGGGAGGAAAAGAAAAATAATTTTTGAAAAAAAAATTTATAATTCCTACATTTTAAACACCACTTCTAGTCCTCTTGCAATTTCCAGGTATGAAAGTAGACAGAAGACTACAAATACGTTATTTATCTCTCTCAGTATGCACTAGATAGACTGTACTTTTCACTGTGCTACACCCATCCATGTTAAAACAATTACAATAAAATTTATTTTTCTTCCCCTTGAAAAAATATTTAGTTGCTTCTGAACCATAAAATAGCACATAGTATTCAGTGATAACATAAATAATTTTGTAAAACATGCTTGCAGAAATATCCTGTAACATTTAGCCAAAAATATACATATTACTAATTGTCTTATTAAATGAGTAAAGTTAAAATACAAACATGATGAACTAATTAATGCAGATATATTATTATCACTAATTTATTTACCAATCTGAATGATCGAAGAACAGATAGTCCATCCACATTTGACAGAAAAAGCTCCACCAAACTAAGGATAACTATAAAACTATCGAAAATATTCCAGCCAACTTGGAAATAATAAAAAGGATGCATGGCAATTATCTTAAGAACCATTTCTGCTGCAAAAATTCCAGTAAAAACCTGAAAGAAGAATGTTTATTGTTACTTTATAGATGAGTATGAATAAATTGAACCAGCAGATAACAACCTACATAAGAAGTAACAACACTCTTACAGCACAATGTCAGTAAAGAAAATGATCACAACCTGAACCTCACAGAGAAGTGGCAACATCAGAATGATCTGTAGCATAACTATTAACTTTAGTTAAACCCAAAATACATTTAGTGACTAGTGAAGAATACAACTATTCCTAATGGGTCTCCTGTTTCCCTCTCATCTGCTGTCCATTTAAAACTTTACTCAGCAAGGTAACAGTTGATCTTGCCACAAATGGAAGCTGCTTTAACAAAGGTGTGAGGAAAAAGGTCAATGTGCTATTAAATGAAGTCTTCATGAGAACTGACAGATACAGTAAGCATCTCTTTTCTCTCTAGCTGCCAAAAAGAAAGGCCAGTTATGCCGAAGCTCATGTTTGAAGTAAAACCCCTTTCTTCCTCTGAAGCCTTCTGAAGAAGGCTAACACCGTTGAAATAAATTAATTGTAGTTACTGTAGATCTATGCCCAGCTCTATGAAGATCTATGCCCAGATCTATGTAGACCAGCATCTACAGAATTGCATAAATTATCTTTTACAAAAAAGATGAATGAACTTAAAAAAAAAATCAGGAGCATCTGACAAACCTTAAAAGATAGTGCTACACAAACAGCAAGAAATCAACTGCTGAAACTACACCTGTTTTATAGTGGCATTTTAGCTGACTGGGAGGAAACACGAATTCTTATCAGCATGAAGGAACACTTCTACTCACACAGCTCAAAATTAATTAATATTAATCTACTTCATGACATATGAAAGGTAAAAATTGTTGTGTCTTCTGGGTAAAGCACACAGGCATGATCACAAGACAACCCTCTGCAACAGCTATTGATCCTAACCTATTCATCTTCCCTATCTTTCTACTCAAATACATACTGAATCTGTTTTAAAGAGCACCGTGACATGATTCTCTTCCATGTAAATAATCTCTAACTCCAGGTTAAAATTAAAACATTGAATGATATCTGTATTGGCTAAAAAAACTAGCATAAAATTTAAACGTTGACACATTAATAACTCTGGATTTAAACCTGAATATATTCCCAACACATACTAGAATTTAATATATTCTGATTATTAAATTGTTTTATTATTTTGCTACATTATAATCACCTGAATTACTACTTACATAAGCACAGGTTAAGAAGTAGAGCAGATAACATTATCTGTATTATTGCCATTATAAAACAAAACAATTACCCCAAATCCAACCTACAGACTGTGTCCGCTAGGGAACAAAACCCAACTGTGTCAACAGATACTCTTGAAGTCACACATTCTTTGCCTTCCAAACTGTTATGGACCAACAAAGCAGCATTCTTCATGGAAATACAAAAATAACAATGCAAATAATAATCCAAAATAACACCCAACTCTTGTGTTGTCAATGAGACTTACAGTAGAAAGGATCTAATTTGGCTTCTACTGATTTTGTAATACTAAACAAGTGAGATTTCTTTTGGTTTTATGTCATTCAAACTGGTTGTTGAAAACCCCATTTGCGTAAATTTTTATATAGAAATCAAACTCTTACATACAATATATCTCAAATAGCATTTTTAGACTATTTTTAGTACAATTAAGATTTAAGAGTTATTTTATGGGATGATAATAAAAATAATAAAAGTAATTCTATTTCAAAGAGAAAACAGGTTCCAACTATATCAAATTATATATATAGTTTGACGGACTTACCTGATTACCTATTTTAAGTACATTATTGAACTCATCAGTCATTGGATAATGTTCCATGGCCATAAACAGTGTGTTTAAAATTATGCAAACAGTGATAGCCAGATCAACAAATGGATCCATTACAATAAATTCAACTACATTCTTTACTTTTAACCAGGGCTCCCAACAATTCCAAATTAAGAAAGTGTGGGCAAACTTATACCAGCAAGGTGGACATTTTTGTCTGGATTCTTCAAGTTCTGGGAAAAAAAGAAATGTATAGTGAACAACTTTTGTAGAAATAAAGGATAATTTTTTGTTTATCTGCTTTTTCAGGTTTTAATCTTTATCCCTAGAATCATTAAAGATCTTCGGAGGAACCTCCTCAGATTTCCATGAACTGAAATTATTGTTGCTGACTGAAAAGGTTTTAGAGGACTAAAAGTAAAAACAGTTTTGAGGTAGTAATTGAAAGCGTTGTCTATTTTTAATATCATTCAATTCTGTTTTAAAAAAAAACATTTATGCTTGCACTTTTGGATAGTTTTCTCAGTAGAACTTCCAACTTCACAGTCCTCTCAAATTTCTAAATATTTGTTTTTGGAAAAAATATGATTAATTTCACCATAAATATATTCCTGAGAACTAGTCAAGCTTATTCAAGAATTTCAGTAGTAATTTCAGTGTTTCAAATAATTCTACTAATATTTTCTTTCTTCTTAAGTAAGGCCTTGCTTAATTTTCTGTAACATTTTTACAGTATACTTAGTGAAAAATCTATCACAA